GGTACAGTCAGTGCAACCAGCCTTACGGTAGCTTGCATAAGGGTGAAGCTTCTGGCTCTGCTGACAGATACGCTCGCCTCTGTGGCATCACTAAAGAGCCTTAGACCAATACAGCAAGGATGTACTTTTTAAAGAAAGTTAGACAGCCAAAAGAGAGTTTCTAAAAACCACAGTGCTTAGTAGACCCCTGTATCAAACAGCACAGCAGTCCTTGTCAGCAAGAGGACAGGACAAATACCTACATTTCTTCCTGAACTCCACCCAGAGTCCTTCCCTCTGCCAGATACCACCTACTCCAGGCTCTCCTTGTTTCTCTTCCCTACTTGAATTTAAATAAACAAGCTCTGTCCATACACTGTCTTTGGCTGCTACTCCAGAACAGGTCGCGAATAAAAAGCAATGCCTGGACTGACTGATGTGTGCTGACCCGCTCAGACAGCCACAGCCCTCTTCGCCCTTGTGATGGCACCAACACAAGGCATGGGCAGTCATCATAAAAATACTACCAAAGACTCTCCCATTTTTAGCACCTTGATTTTGCTTTGGGCTCTGGTCCAACATAACAATTGGACCCTAAGTGTACAGCCTGTGCCATTTCACGAGCGATAAGCTAACACTTCTCTCTACCACATAAGCACCAACATAGGAACCTGGGCTTGGGGTTGATTGGTGGATGCAGGGAGAAGGGCTGCGGATTAGGACAGGTTTTAACCTGAGCCTTACCTGGGTTGCCCACAGATAACCAAGACATCATCTCCATACCCCCTCCCAACCCTGCCACGTCCACAGCTGGCACCCATAAAGGTGAGGAAGCACATTTGTCAGTGGTGATGAAACCCTTCCTCCCGTGGACGTGGCAGGGTTGGGAGGGGGTATGGAGATGATGTCTTGGTTATCTGTGGGCAACCCAGGTAAGGCTCAGGTTAAAACCTGTCCTAATCCGCAGCCCTTCTCCCTGCATCCACAAATCAACCCCAAGCCCAGGTTCCTATGTTGGTGCTTATGTGGTAGAGCACTGTAGAATGACATTACCACGAAAAGGAGCCGAGGCAGCAGGTCTGGTGGCTCTGAGAGCTGGGGGATGAGGAGGTAAGGAAAGGCTGTACCTCCCGCCAAGAAAGATTTTCACTTGCCTGGTGGCTTCAGCAGGCTCGGGACCCAAAGTGGCCACAGAGCATCAACAACAACCAGCCTAGCGTGGACACAAGTGCCTGCCAGCCCTTACCCTCTTGGCACTGCAGCTTCTGCCATGGTGGAGGTAACACCCTAATGCTTGTGAGGGTCCAGTAGCAAAAGCTAGGCTACACCAGCTGAGGAACAACAGGTCATGAGAGCCCCTAGCCAAATCTGCCCAGACATGTCAGCGTAAGTTTTGTACCAAATGTTCTGAGCTTTAACACGTGTTAGCATCTCTTCTTCCTAATGGCTTTCCCTCATGTTTCTTCTCTTCCAGCACTGAGTGTGTTACTCAGTCACGCATTAACCTTTGTGTCTGATTCCTGATCTGCTGTTAAAATCTATGTTAATTCCTTAGAATCTCACAATTTTTTCCCCAAGCAAATTCTGAGCAGTTCTGGGATTCCTGTACCTGCAGACGCAGTAGGTAGCTAGCGTGGTCTGCTCTCCAACAGCTCAGGCTGCACGAATGGTCTAATTAACACCTCATCAAACTCAACTGTTGGTTGTGTCTGGAGAAATTCCCTCTTGCACCTGTGCATTCACAAGACACCATTTCCAGCCTCCCGCACAGCAGACCCCAGCCATCGGAGCAATGCTCCGTCACTGCAGAGCCCATCTTTACATCAGCAGTAGTGGTCCTGGTGCAGTCTCTGGGACATGCCAGCCCAGGGTGACACGGATACGCTCTGTGGCTGCTCAGAGCCACTGCACCGCGCAGGGTGGTGCAAGAGCTCAGGAGCAGTAACTCGGCAGTGAAGGGTGTGCAAAGCACGTGCTGCTGCCTTTCAGGCAGGGCTCTCCTCCCCTCACCATATCCTACCTCCATCATCAGAAAATGCATAGGTTTCACCCAGCACAGCTCAGTGTCACCTGCCTAAGGATAGCGTTTGCAGTGGGACAGCGTGCACGCACCCCTACATGCTGGAAACCTTCAGGTGCCTGATCTACACTCATCATCTAGCCTGTCTAGCAGACTCCAAAGAAAGGTGGCATCCCAGGAGGGGTTCAGTCCCACTCTGTCCCAGAGGAGGCCCTAGGATTGGGTCAGAATGGACGTGGAGGTGTCCATCTCCCACTGTTGAGACAGACAGAGCCTTGTGCACAGCAGAATGCAAAGATACTGTTGACAAAGATGTCAACACTACCAGTATTGCAGGACAAGGATTAAACATAAAGAATAAGTTTAGCTTGGATGCTTGAGATAACGGTTCAACAATAGACTACAGTGTTTGGAACACAGAGGATGCAACAGGAAAATGTAATTTTAGGTAATACTTCACAATGAGAGTATTCTGAGTGATTCAGCACCTCAGGTAACTTTAGAGGCTTTCTCTGGAGAACACCAAACTCCAGCTTCTACTGTCAGAGATCACACTCCCTGGGCCTCTCTGACCTCTCCTCTCCCACTTCAGCTCGTTTCCATTATTTCCCCCATCAAAACCTGCGTCCTCACTTTGTCTAACAGGGCACTGATTGCCTGCCAGACTAATCCACCCATCCCGTCTTCTGCTCTGGGGTGTCTCATCTCTCCACTCCAGCCTCACTTGAGTCATAATCTTCCACTTGTCCTATCTCTTCCTACCTGGTTGACTTCTGCTCTTCATCACGTTTTTTAAAATGAGAGCAAAACTTTGCAGATTTCACATCGTCAGGACTATTAACTGCACACACTTCATCTGCTCTGGAGCCTTTATCCTACTGCAACCACTACGTAGACCATTCATGGTGGTCTAGCAAGGCAGACAGCAGGCTTGCCATTGAGAGCACCTTCCTAAATTCCTTCTCCTCTCTCCTGCTTGTTGACTGTGTGGGGCTCATTCAGGATCCTGAGAGGCACGTCCTGGCCGTGACAGCCCCAGGCACGTTCTGAGCCACATCCCATTGACCGGTTCTGCGACGCTCCCGCAGAAGGCAGAGCTCCCGGTAGCACTAACTGAGAGTACTGACGAGACCTCAGGGAGCTGCTGGGAATAAAGCTCATGCTGTCGAGCAGCTCAGGCACTGTGGTTTATTTGTTTGTCCTTTTGCAACTCCGTTTCCAAACACTGCAAACAAGCGTTTAGCCCTTTGTCTTTGTGTAATCAGACTTGTTCCTCCTCTCTACGCCCTGCCTGGTAATAACGGGGTCTTTATGTGGAAAGACAAGCAGCTCTTGTTTCACAGGACCCCATGGGCTGTAAGGCCATGCAGGCACGTGCCGCTCGCCATGAGCTGCAGACACCAGGGTTTGGAGCGCAGGACACAAGGTTTCTCCATGGGGGAGAGAAATCACTTTGAACGCCTGTGGACCAGCATTGCCCTGGCAGGCAGGGAAGGCAGCAGAGGAACAGCAGGAGAGCGGGCATGCTCATTACAGCTCTTCCAGACCAATGTGGGGGTCTGGAGAGCCCCCACTATCCCATCACCAGGGCTGCTCAAACCCTTGCTCTTACCTTCCTTCCCTTTCATTCGAGATGATGTTCCTGCCATCCTCTCCACCGAATTGTACGCTACCGCCTCGCTCCCAGGGTCGCCGTCACTCAGAGCATAGCTCCAGCAACGCGGAGCTGCCGGACCACCCTGACCGTGCGACTCGGCTCTTCCAACCCCTCTTCCCTGGGACCCGGCTGCGGCGCATGGAGGGCAAACGCAGCAGTAGGACTTCCCATTCTCTAAGAGCTTCTTGGCTCTCATCCCTGTTGTTTTCCTTACTCAGCCCGCTCCTCCCGGCGCTAATAGATTGCCTGCTGATCAAGGCTACTACAACATTTTGTAACTCCCCCTGCGCTATACCGAATGCCGGGGCTCCGGCAAGCGATGTGTCCAGGCGGCATCAGTGGCAGCCATGCTCTGTGGGCACAGGGGCTGCTCCCCCACCTTCGCTGGCGGGAGGGATGCTGGCGCCGCAGCTGGTTCCACCAGCTTTATGGTCTCTTTGTGCTGCTGCAGCAGAGCTGAGAATCTGGCCCTGGCTCCCTCCCCGCCTCGCCGGGGACTGCATCAGTGTGCTGTTTATTGTTTCTGCCAGATCATTCATGCAGATGTTAATGAATGCTAGACCAGCTTTGCTCCCAGCAGAGTCCCTTCCACACCTCCCCCTGCCCAGCCCTCTGCACTGGAGTTTCTGTTTACAGTCCTGCAGGGAATTTCCCCTCTGCTGCAAGGTCTTCGAGCTGCACAGTGCTTTTTGCCAGCAGGCTCCCACACCTCTCTGGTTCCTGTAGCTGTCCAATGTCACCTCCAGGTGTCTGTGTCCCTCACTGTCACCATTCCTTCTCCACTTCTGGCCTCCCCAAACTAGAGACGTGCCAATTCTCCTAGGAGGGAGCAGAGGGCTTGGCCAGCGAAGAAAGTTGCTACAGGTTCTTCCTCTGCACAGATGGAGAAAGCAGAGGGAGAAGCCGCCACCAAAGGGGAAGAGCAAAACAATTTGTCCAGGAGGACTCTGAGACAATGTCTACACTGATAAGTGGTGCCAGGACCCACTTCCTGGCCCTGAAGCCCACAGGCATGCAGCAGCCTGCATCGGTACCGCTGCGTTATCTTCACATCCAAATAAGGTGGGCACCTCAGTCTGCCTACAATTGGGAAACGCTCGGAATACCTGGGAGAGTGTTAGTCAGCCCAGCTCAAAATCCTGCCAGGGACTTCTGCAGAAGTTTAGCAGCACAGACGACCGTGTCGCCAACCCCTTGGTACTGCGGTGGCTGGGCTGCGCGGAGCCTCGCTATCCTGGCAGCTGTTGGACGTTGGGAAGCCAAAGAGCACGTCTACCTGCTGCAAAGGGTATCAGTCTCCGGGGGCGTTTCTGATCTCTTCTTGATCAAAGCAACATCACTTACCCTTCCAGAAGAGCGATGACGTTCTTTCTGGGCCTCCCAATGTTCGGCCCGTAGAGGTTTGCTCTGGAATAAGTGCGGATAAGCTGCAGCAGGCTTCTCAGCTGGATGTAGTCCTTCCCCAGCTGGCTGCCGTTCACCGAGCGGCCGATCAGGGTCCGATAGTTATTGGGCTCTGGGAAAATAAAAATAGACAAGCAAGGCTTGCCAGCTCTGCTCCTTCATCCGCGCTTCCGGAGAGAGACACACAGCTCACACGCTGTCGCACAGCTTGAGCTCCGCAGAGCTGCCTGCCTGCTCTGCCGAGCAGCAGAAGGAGCCGCTGAGGTGTGGATGGGGGCCATCTCTCGCTCTCCTGTGCCAGCATCTCCTCCCATGTCCGTTTAGCTGTATGCTGGGTGAAGGACCTCCACCTTGGTGTCATGCTTTTGTCCCTCTAGGGTCCCCCACTTCCCCTGGCACTGCAGCTACCATACAAGTCCATACACCTGCTGGTCTGCCCACCCCAGGACCGGCTGTACCTCGTAGCCAGGGCAAAAACATTTAATGATTTAATGTGTTTAATACCAACTCATGGAAACATCCAGCTAAGGTGCAAACACACGCCAGGTCTGTCTTAGAGATGGTGCTGCCTTATAGCAGGAGCCTTTAAATCCCTCTGAACCTACACTGGCAAAACATCCTGGGATGTGCAAATATCCTCTTCCGAAAGGGAATACCTTTCTGCTACAGCAAGCTCTGTTCCCGTGACTCTCCTGTTCCCACACTCACCGTTGCCCAGCTCCCAGGAGATGTTGTACTTCTTGCTGGCACTGTACTTCAGCAGGCTGAGAGCATTGGAGCTGTTCCAGGAGTTGTTGGGATTTCGGCGCAAAGCATTCAGTGCAAAGATCAGGTGAAGGCCAGAGCAGTCAGCAAAGTTATAGAGTTTGTCTAGAGACCTGGCTGGGAAGAAACAAAAAACAGCTTGTAATTCAAATGAAAGCTAGTTCCAGGGAGGTTCAAATGATCTTGCTGTCCATCAGACCTTGGCTTCTGTGTAGGATGAGCCAGGGTCAAATGCCATCCCCACGACATCTGTAACCGCAGAAATGCACCTGACCTTTGAAACCGGGATAGGATTCCAAGCGCGGGCTCATCTCCTTCCAGCATGAAACTTGGATGCCCTCCACCACTGTGTCAGAGGTAGGGGCCATGTTACCAGAGACAAGTGACTTTATAACATCTCTTTTCATCTGCTCTTGGCAAGGAAAGTTCAGCCTTTTCTGTGCTTATCCTGCCTTGCATCTCTTTCAGAGCAGATCCCCGCAGTGCCTGAGGAGCAGAGGAGGAAATCACCACCCCGGGGCTGCCAGCTCATGGCCACCTGTCCTACACACTGCCACAGCCTTCTCTCAGCTCCCACAGCCCCCCGTGCCGTAACCAAGCCCCAGCAATCACCAAGCAGAGCCTCCAAGGTGTGCACCACGCACCCAGCTAACCTCCGCTCTGCATGCAAAGAGAGGAGTTTCGTGCCACCTCTTGAGCTCGGGGACAGAGGAGGGCTCCCCGCCTGGTGACAGCACAGCCCGGCCTTGCTGCCCGGGTGGCCCTCCTGGGGTGCTGGGGTCTTTGTGGGATTCGTGTCCTACCTTCTGGTCCCCAAAGCTCCCTGGCTGCCATCTCCCCTGCCGTGCTGTGGCCTTGATGAGCAGCAGGGCACCAGTCAGCAGCAGAAGCAGAGACCAAAGAAAGAGCTGATGTGCTATTCAGGGAAGAGTGACATCAGTACAGGGCGCTGCTGGGAGAGCCAAAATCCTTAATACCTTTTTTTTATTTTTTATTTTTTTTTTGCTTCAATCTTCCCTAAAAACTCAAACGCAATCAAACGTCTGACGAAGCTAACGCCAGTGTTAGCAGGATATGAACTCACACGACAGCAAGAGGAGATTTTGTTAGAGAGTAATTAGATAACTGTGGTGTTTTCAATCACCCCTGCCTGTTGAACTGCATCCCAGGACACTCGGCGAGCTTCCTGAAGCAGCCTCGGAGATGCAACCACTTAACTGTGAGGAGCCACCGGGGATGGGGAGGTTCCAGGGGGCTGGGGAGGGCAGACTGAGGGCTCCGCTTTCCAAAGAGGGGAAGGAGACGCTGGGGAATTACAGAGTAGGCAGACCGGCTTCAGGTCCCAGAAAAATACTTGGACAAAAAATCAAGCTGCTTGTCAGCACTTACAAAATATAAGGAGATGATCAACAGCCACAGGAATGTGTCAAGAACAAATCACGCTGAAGCAATCTACTGACAGGAGAGAAGGGCTTGCGGACAGCAAAGCAGCCATTTATGTCTTATACCTTGATGGTTTTTAAGGCTTTTGACGAGATTGCACATGATGTCCTCTACAAAAAGTGAGGTAACCCTGATCTAGACTGAGCTGCAGTGAAAAACACGCACAACCAGAGCAGATATCAGTAACTTGCTGTTAAACTGAAGGGTGTAGGCAGCCTGCTTTAGGTCTCTTTGCACATCTCCAATAAAGAGGGGTATAAAGGAGCGGAGGATACACACATCAGACTTGCCGTGGCACTAAGGATGCTGGCATGCACCACCACGGCCAAGGGGGCTGAAGGGGATGGAGAGGAGACAACCGCAGGCTCAGGGAATTGCTCTAATCCCAGGGGCGATGCTCCGAGACTGCCTGTGCCCACACTGCCGGACCAAGGTGCAGGTGAGACGGTGACAGCCAGAAGCTGCTCGCTCTGGTCGGGATAAGCTGCTCACAGCCCGTACATCTGCATTTATTCTGTCACCTTTCCTGGTCACTGAAAGCCTCGGTGAACATGGAGCCAGCTCTGAGGTCTGAGAAGAATAAACTTATTTTAAAAGCAATGTTTTAAGGAGGCTCAAGGAAACAAGCTAACTGAATAGCTAATGTTTAATGGAACGCAGCAAAGTCGTGGAAAGGAGAAGAAAGGAAAAATGTGGAAAAGACATTCCTAATCCCTTTCACAACCTTTTTCTAAACGCTACTGGTTGTTTGAGTGAAAAGTGGCTGAATTAGATTAATCTAATGTATTCATCCCACTGGTTCAGGCACATTAGCTGTTTTCTCTGGATGTTTAGTGAATTAGAGACAGATACAGTTACTTAATACTCATTTACTTCGGACCTCCAGGCAAAAAGCTGCACTTGAAATGAGACTCCTGTAAAGAGGATAAGATAGACCCCTAAATGACAACATGAAGATAGCGAAAAGGTGTTACCTGCAGTTCTCCTGCTAGAAATGAAACCTTTTATTTGGTGCAAAACAGTTGTAGTTCTTCAGCACTACAGGAGGGGATTTGTTTCATGTTTAGGAGCCTCGGCAGAGGACTGGGAATTGATTTTCCATGCATCCACCGGAGGAAACAAGCCGTCTGTTTATCCCAGTGCAGGGCCTGCCACTGTGAAATTATATTTTCCCCATGACACTCATTTTGTTTTCGTGCGCCTGGACAAGAGATGCCACGTGTATTTCATGTTCTGCCATGACTTTCCGAGCTGGAAATCTCAGCGATCGGGGAGAGAACTAGGAGAAAAGTGCAGATGCCTGGGGGATGCTCCTACAGGTTTCCAGTGGCCTCTCAGCACACAAACTGACCTGCAGACTGCAACGAGGCTGCAAAGCGCAGAAAACTACTAATAAACCTCTCTCTGCATCAGACCAGATTGTTAATATGGGGACTCTTAGTATCATGACTATCAGGCATCAAGCCCATTTATCTCCTTGATCCTTGGCAGCTCTCTAAGAACGGTGTGAATCTGGAAGCACCGGTCTCTCCAGTGACTCTAGCAGAGCCTTGATGACCCGTTTGCACAAGATGCCCAACTATTAGTGGTGAAAGGGCATGGCTGACCCCTCCTGAGGTGACTGCCTTAAACTGGACATCTCTTTACAGACAGCTGCGGTTAGATGAGAAGAGTACTGTCATGGGTGGCTAAAGCACAAAAAGAAGCATATTTAGACGACCTCGAGTGATGTCCAGCCCTCCATAAGTGCAAACAGGGCCAAAAGAGAATGCTATAAATATTTTACTGCCATGACTAGGGATAGCTACATTACTTCTGAGTAATGAGAACATGAAGAATAGCAGTATTATTAACAGCTGGCTGAAACTCACTTTGAATTCTGGATAATTGCACTGTTTTTTCTTCATCAAACACGGAAAATCTTCCAGGAATTTAACCTTTCCCCATCTAGCAGATCATTAGGCAAGGCTTTCACAAAGCATTTCAATAGAAAAAGCCATTGTCGTACCAGAATGAATCTTAATAGAGCAGAACTGGATTTATAAGATGTTCTCCCTGCCCTGCCCCTTCTCCACCTCTGCCCCATGCAGAGATGCACATGCTCAGTGCTCACGTGCCACTGAGCTCAGGGAGAAGAAATAAAGCAAAAAAAGAGATGAAAATAAGAGGGAGAGTGGGGAGTAAAAGGATGCTGAGAGTCAGCTTCTGCCACTTACTAATGCTCACGTAGTGGGAGTGAGGCTAACCAAGGCAACAAAGCGATGTACTCCCTTCCCTCACACCCAGCTGGCAGGTTTCCGCGGGGATGGGCGCCTGCCTCGGTGGGTTTGGGACTAACAGCAGCCAGTAGGCAGAGACAGAGGCCCCATGGCCTTGGCACAAAAAAGAAATCAGAAGATATTTTGATTCTCAGCCTTTTACATCCTCAGTTGCGGAGGCTTGGATGCATCTGGAGAGCGAATACCACCCGACGATGCACGGCTGGGTGGCCGCCAGAGAAGATCTGCTCGCAGTCCTGTGCTCAGCTGAAGCTCTGCATAGGAATTAAAGATTTTGGCTGTTTGCATGGATCTCTCACCCTGCACAGAGGGAGATAAACAATTTCAAAACGCAGGAGAAGGTGTGAGACCACAAATGGTGGTGGGGTTCATGGGACAAGTACGTCCTTTGTGATTTTTTATTTTTCTCAGTTTCATACAGGGCTAAATTTTAAAGTTCTCCAAAAGATGCATGGCACTTAGCTGTGGCATGCCAACACAAAATCTGAGGCACATTAAAACATCTCTGGCAGTTTAAAATAACTGGAAAGACTTTCCAGTTGTAGTTACTGAATTAAACATTATACTAGAGACTTTACAAAGAACGTAGTATTGACTGCCATTTGGTAAGAGGGACAGTTCAATAATCTCTGGGTTTGAAAGTCTTCCACATTTTTTATTCTGCTTCAGGAATTCTGCTTTGGCAGGGTTTAGCACGAAGAGTGGAAATTCATGTGCACGCTGAGACGGAGGCTGAGATCAGCCGGTGGGCTGAGGGGCGGCGGGGCATGGCACGGCGTGCCGGGCGCTTTCGTAACTCTGGGACGTCAACCAGGAGGACAGGAAAGAAGAGCCTGTTCTCCCTCTAACCCCACCGTTCACCACGTCTGTCTCTCGCACGTACCAGCGCTGAGGAGGATGGGGCGAGAGCTGAGCACGGAGCAGGCAGCACACACCGCACTCCCCAAATTCGCAGGTTAAGCTGGGAAACCAAGCAAATGCACAACAGATGAACGCTTCTGTTGATAAAGCAAAGAAATGCAGTTCTAGAAATAACGATTTCAGCTAATCACGGGTATTGCTCGACTCTGCATTCCCCATAAATTCTGAGCAACGCCTGGACCATCCCTGCAAACAGCTCCTGGTGCCAGCACCAAAGCCAGCAGCATCCCCTGCCCCTCGAGCACCCCACAGGAGAGAGAGGAGGGAACGGGTTGGGAAAGACTTGGCAAAGAGCAAAAGAAGCCCAAAGAGAGCTTTACAGGGAGGGGGCAGAAAGGGCGGCACAGAGTGTTCAGACGAGAGATGAGTAAGATGGGCGAGGAGAGCAATGAATGGAAAAAGAAAGGTATTCCCGCTTATAGAAGAACAAGTGGGTACAGGGAAAATTTATTTACAAACAAACTGCCACCATAG